AGCATCTAAAAAGATTGGTTAGAGTCAAACAGAAAATGTAAATGCTCAACCGATTACCCTACGTAGGTCGCAACGGCAAAGATCTCACCAGACAGATACCTCGGTATCGTCTTAACTGATGATCAGGACATCCTAGTTATGGATGGTGATGAGCCCCGACTCTGCAAAATGGCAAGAGGCCATGAAATCCGAGATGGACTCCATGTCTGAAAATCAAGTCTGGGACTTGGTGAATTTGCCCGAGGGTTATACACCCATTGGATGCAAATGGATCTTCAAAGTGAAGACAGACAAGGATGGAAATGTATCGATATACAAAGCTAGACTGGTGGCAAAAGGCTATAGACAAGTCCACGGGATTGACTATGATGAAACTTTTTCACCAGTTGCAATGCTAAAGTCCGTCCGGATCATCCTAGCGATTGCTGCATATTACAATTACGAAATATGGCAAATGGATGTCAAAACCGCCTTCCCTAATGGGATTTTGGAAGAAACTGTGTATATGACACAACCAGAGGGTTTTGTCGATCCAGGCAACGCTAGAAAGGTTTGCAAGTTGAAAAAGTCCATTTATGGATTAAAGCAAGCCAGCAGAAGTTGGAATCTGCGATTTGATGAAGCCATCAGCAAGTTTGGTTTTATCAAGAATCCAGATGAGTCTTGTGTGTACAAGAAGGTCAGTGGGAGTGATATTGCATTCCTAGTCCTGTATGTCGATGACATACTGCTCATTGGAAACAGCACAAAATTGTTGGAGTCCGTAAAGGGCTGGTTGGGAAAGTGCTTTTCAATGAAGGACTTAGGAGAGGCACAGTACATATTGGGCATCAAGATCTACAGGGATAGATCTAAGAGGATGATTGGATTAAGCCAGAGTACTTACATTGATAAGGTACTGGCTCGATTCAACATGGAAAATGCCAAAAGAGGGCATTTACCCATGTCCCATGGCATAACTCTCAGCAAGAAACAGTGTCCACAGACACCTGTTGAGCGAGAAAGAATGAATCAGATCCCATATGCTTCGCTAATCGGATCGATCATGTATGCCATGATATGTACAAGGCCGGATGTATCGTATGCCCTGAGTACAACGAGTCGATACCAATCGAACCCAGGAGAGGCGCATTGGACTGCGACCAAAAACATCCTTAAGTACCTGAGAAGGAACAAGGATAAATTCCTGGTGTATGGAGGCCACAAAGAACTGGTTGTTGAAGGTTACACCGACACTAGCTTCCAGACTGACAGAGACGACTTCAAGTCGCAGTCGGGGTATATATTCAGTCTGAATGGAGGAGCGTTTAGCTGGAAGAGTGCCAAGAAGAGCACCACTGCAGACTCTACAACTGAAGCCGAGTACTTGGCCGCTTCGGAAGCTTCCAAGGAAGCTGTTTGGATTCGCAAGTTCATCAGTGAACTTGGTGTTGTACTTTCAATCAAGGGACCGATAGATCTCTATTGTGATAATAATGGAGCTATCGCTCAGGCCAGGGAGCCGAGAGAACACCAGAAGGTCAAACACGTGCAAAGGCGATTTCACATGATAAGGGAATGGAAATCCGAAGGTGAAATCAGAATTTGTAAGATCGGCACGGATGATAATGTAGCCGATCCTTTGACTAAACCTTTGCCTCAAGTGAAACACAACGAACACGTTGAGGCAATGGGAATCAAGCATGTTGGACACTGGCTTTGAAATTCCCTGTACATGTGTTTTAATTAAACGGGTTGATTTAATGTAAGACATTTTACTAAAACCATTCATTAATGGAGTAATTAATTTTGTGCAAAATTATCATTCACTCCATTACTATTTTGTGGTTTAGAATTAAATAATGAGTCCATTCAATTTACGGAAATATTCAAAACAGGGTATCAAAACCATGTCTTGGATAAAGAAACACCTGTTAAGTGAACATTGAGTATTAAATCGAAAAGTATCCCTAATCGAGGTCATCTAACAGATGGATGACTGATGACCGCCATAGATTAGTGTGTAGTATGATTTACAGCACCGTTTCTTGTGCTGCGAGGACGTGACAGTCATAAATCATTTGCACAGGTACAGTTTAGAACTGTACTGGATAAGACCTATGAGAGTAATTTAAGAAATATTAAAATTATGTCATAAGTACATTTCTCATTATGATTATCGGAACTTATTTCCTCCGACCATGAGTACTGTGACGTTTTCTTGTTTGAGTACTAGGCTCTTTGATGTTTCCAAACGTCTGCCGTAACTGGGGATCATAACGGGAACACTCGGGAGTCTATGTCCTCTTAGTAAGAAGAACTTACAATACAAGACTGGGATTGTCCCCCTACTAACAATAGGGAAAATGTTTTGTTGTTTAAAAGGCCGCTCGAAGAGTGAGACTGTGAAAATGCATGGCCATGCTCAGATGGATTTTAGAAATCATTTGCTTATTGACAGTCAAACTCGGAGATCGAGAAACACTTCTGAACGTAATAAGGATGACAAAGAATCTTACCTTATAGTTCACGAAGAAACATTAAGTGACAAAGGAAATGAGCTATACACAATATGCACACTTGTCCGGAAGGACAAGTGGGAGATTGAAAGGAATGGTGTCCTTCCAACAAGTATATTATTCCGATAAAGGGTTCAGAATTATTACAGAGCTAATTCTTCAGTAAGGTCAAGTGATCGTAATGCCTAGGTGGAGGCCGCTTCCGATCAGTAATATCAGGGTACAATTGATATTACAGCTTAATCTTAACTGAACCCTTCGGGTCGAACCCAATCGAATCTCCGATCCGAGACGTCGAATTAATCCGAAAGGATTTAATGAGTCGACAGAGTTTTACGAATACAGACGTCGGAAATCGAGCCTAGGGCGTCGATACCGAGCGTCGCAAAATCACAAGCAACAAGTATGAGCGTAGCCGTAGCTAGGCTAGGCTAGCTCATAGCATGCCTAGGCGCACCATGGTGTGCTAGGCACCATCGCAGCCTAGGCGCGCCCTGGCAGCCCATCGCAAGCTAGCAACATGCTAGCATGGGTGCCTGGGTGCGCATGGCAGCTATCGCAAGCCACACAGGCACCAGGCAGCCCATAGCAGCTAGCAAGCATGCTAGCGTGGTGCCTGGGTGCATATGGCGCCTATCGCAGGCAATAGCCGCACCAGGCGCACCATGGCAAGCACTAGGTGCTGCGTGCGTGCGTGCCTGGCTTGGCAGCACCATCGCAAGCACCAAGTGCTGGCATGGTTGGCTGCCTGGCAGTGGCGCGCCATGTGCGTATGCTTGTGTGCTAGCCTTCGCATGGCAGCACCAAGCATCGCAGCACATGCAAGAGGCTGCGCGCCAGCTTGATGCTAGGCCTCGCACAAGCAGCCTCGCACCACAGGCGCATTGATGCGTGTGGGCTGGCAATGCGTGAGGTGCAGCGAGGGACGCGAGTATGTGCGTGGTGCGTGGCGCATGGCTGGTGCGTGATGCATGTGCGACCAGCCAGTGCGTAGCATGCGAGGCCAGCGCCAGCAATGCCCAGCTAGCACAGGTTGTGCTAGCGATGCGATGCGAGAGAGAGTGTGCATGGTGCGATAGGCAGTGCTAGGCTGCCAGCAGCACCAACGCCTAGCACTGGCCAGCACCAGCGCCTAGCATGGCCTGGCACCAGGCATGCGAGGCTGCTGGGCAGCACCATGCTAGCTGGCTGGGCTGGCCAGCGCCATGCTAGCTGGCGTGCTAGCTGGCAGCAGCCCAGCATGCCCCTTGTATGTGGCGGTTTGAGGGAGTGGGGACCAATTGGCTTAGAGCATGCCTTGGGGATCAAGGCAATGGTCCCCCCCCCAAGGATCATGGTCCTCACCTAACCTTCTCTCTCTATTTGACACTTGTTGCATTATTATTAGTTTTGTTTAATAATTTATTTTAGAAATAAATTAATTAGCAAAATTCATTCTCCCACATTGGTGGAGGATGAAAGATCAAGGGATCATTTCCCTATAAATACCAAGCTTGGTATTGGGATTTGAAACAACCTTGAGTGGAATTAAAAAGGCAACTCTAGAAAATAGTAAACCTTTGATTCGTAAAACTCATAGTTATTTTGTCCGGGTCTTGACTAACCTTCAAGACTTAGGACGCTCGGGTCGGGTCGAGGGTACGATCCGTCGGAGATCTCGTCTTTTCGGGATTTTGAAGTAAGAGCTCTTTGGGAACGAAGCACACGTCAAAGGTATAATTCTTGTCCTTAATCTTGTTTGATTAAGTTTATTATGCTTGTTTAATTGCTTTAATTAAGGGGCGGGTCTTGGTGGGTTTCCTTCCACGTAGTGACGGGTCACTACGAAACCCAACAGAGCTGGGGTCGGAATTCGGTGGGAGGTGGTCGGAAGAAGAAGGGGGAGGCGGGGTTGTCGAAATGGGAGAGGATGGAGGCTGCCAGAAAGGGGTGGTCATAAAAAGGGAAGGGAAAGGGAGGAAGAGAGGTCGTCGGAAACAGAGGAGAAAAGGAGCTGCCGAAAACAGACCGGCTGTGTGGGCACTTAGGAGCCGGTCCGGCGGTGGGGGCTGGGGAAGGGGTGCCGGCGGTGGTGGCCGGCTTGAATGGTTTTGATTTTATTAATTTATTTTTCTTTTTTTACACCCAATAATATGGTGACACGTGTACATGGTAGTCATTAACGGATTTATGGACGGAATCCGTTAGATAGGAGTGATTGGTGGTAAAAGCCAACTTTTATTTTTTATGTGGTGGTAAAATAAAACTTTTTTTTGTGAAGGTGGTAAAAACCAATAAGTGGTTATTTGGAGGTGATAAAAGTCAAAATTTCCTATATAATACAAAATAATGCTAGCGTGATGAGGATTAATTGAGAATCTAAAAGAACGTGAGAAGGGAAGGATGTAAGTGCATCTACTTTTTTTAGATATAGAAATGTCCTGAAGTGCATTTTACACCCCAGCGTTTTAACAAACTTTCAAGATAGATAGATTAGTAGAGAATACCCTCAAAATGTGGATTATGAAGACTAAATTTCCATTAGATCAACAAAAACCAAAATCCATGTTTTGTGATTTTCTTCCATTTTCTCTCCCTGGATACTCTTTCAAAGAAGATCCTCTAGATAATATAGTAATTGATTACAACATATGCCAAATAATATCATGTATGAACATGTCTATGGCTTAAAAAAAACTGGACTGATCGACAACTATCCACACCAACAGGTTTGAGAGTTTGATGCTAAAACTAAATCCCATCCCCACAACCTTGATACCCGTTTGAGCCATGTTCATGGCTGGGTAAAGCTACAGTTCCCGACTTTAAGAGCAACTTCCTTCAACCATGCTACAAGTCAGCACCACAATCATTGGGGCTACGATGCCATGGTCAACAAGTTTGTTGCTGGCCTTAGATTTTTGCTTTCTTTCTATGCTTGAAATTCAAGCGAAAGTTACTATCTATTTACAAAAGTATGTACATAGATCTTTCACAAATCACAATCTAGGTGTCCATATAAATGACTTCTGCCTGTACAGAAGCTCGCTTATACCGCACCAGCTCTTTAAGCAATTCCAGTCCTCCATCAGCACTATTCGGTTTAACAGTCAACTTCTCAAGCACAGGAGAATTTGCAAGCAGAAACTTCACAAAATCTAGCTCTGGTTTAGTCGCACAAATATCGATAATTCTAACTACTCGAAGCTGGTGAAACACGCAATCGGCCTGAAGTTTCTCCTCCCAAAAGGTTGTTCCTGTTTTTGCAATAGATTCCTCCTCATACCTAGCCTACAAATAGTCAAAACATACCATGGTTCAATCTCAAACAAAATCCTGATCACAAAGTAGCTCTGAAGACACAAGTCTTGAGCATATTTAAAACCCTAAAAAGTGTAATTTAATTAATTCATATAAACCAATCCTATATATCGAGGTTAATAACCAATAAGAGATCTTCTTGCTACTTGTGCATGATACATAAATGTTCCTCCAGATTTCTATCTTCTTTTGGGGGAGAGGGGTGTGTTTAAAATCAAAGTCAGGTACTTACCAGCATCTCAAGTTCAGACAAATTTGGAGAGCTTTTAAACAGACAAAAAGCTGCCTTATTTTCCTTGATATCATAGTAGTTGATACGGATGGAGAGATAGTACAGATCAAGACATGGAACTGGTAGTCTACTTGGCACATTGCCATGAGCTAGATACTGTAAAATCTCAAAGCCACAGAACAGTTAAATTTTTGCAACAGGTAGTTACACATATAAATAGTAAGATTCAAAAGATTAAGTTAAAAACTGAGAGGTGTTGTAAGCTTGTAATACAAAATAAGATTCCATGTCAAAAACTTTCATGTATCTAATTGAAACATGATTTATTTTTATTTTATTATTTTTTTTTGGGGGGTGGGGGGTGCAGTAATGAGACTAACATACCTTTAAGAAGTAACTTTGGACCTCAAGCCTCTGTATATGAGGAAGGCAGGCAAAAAAATTCAACATGTTGCTTGGATGGTTTTGTCTTCCATTAAATTCAGTTTCAACATTGATATATAAACCAATTGAAATTATAGACAGCATGTTGGTATTCTCAAAAGTAACATCTTCAAAATTACCTCCAATGTCAAAGAACTGAAGATTAGGAGCATTAATCTTGAGATTGAAGAAACCTTCAAAGTTCATCAATGTCAACCTCTCTAGTGAGGGACACCACGCAATCAGATTCTTGAACGCGTCTTCTGTCATGGTAATATGCTGAAGATCAAGGCTCCTTAAGTTTGGAAAACCTTTGAAAACTGGTGGTGGGTTTAACAAACAGTTGAACAGCTCCAGATGAAGCAAGTGCTCACAAGAATACAAAGAAGAAGGCATTTTGTACCTCTGACCCTTCCAAATTTCAAGTACAAAATCTTCAATAGGGCTTCTAGATACATATAGAATCCATCGGTCAATATCAGCGACAGCTTGAAGATCTTTATGGGATAGCTTGAACTTCTGTATTATGCCAGTGTGAAGTACCAAAACTTGATCAATGATATTGATAAGTTTGCTCTTGGCTATAGCTTGATCATTAGATGGGCAGCAGTCCTTGTCAAATATGAGATTTGGTAGACTAGCCCATTTGTACCTCCAATTGCTCGATAAAATACTAGTCCTAACTGCATCTCTAATGGACAACCAAGACAGAATCCCATCAACAATATGGCTTGGTAAGTTGCTTAGTCTATCTGATTGATTCTGCATGTTGCACAGCGCCTTGGGCGGTAGTCTTCTTCTCTGATATAGTTGAAGCAATACTCATGAAAACGCCCAATAAATACACAATCAAGCAGATATTTTTTTTATAGCAGTATACAGTAATACATAGACTAGAGATATGATCCATTCTTTAGCACAAACATAGAATATTACAATAAAAAGCACAACCTGACAACTGAGCTACCAAATGTTTAATCTATTCATTTGCAAGTGTAGTTCCCCTCAGGCATTAAATGCTGTGTAATCAAATGCATGTAAACCAAAATCTGTTGTACTAGGTAGAATGATTGGCTCTAGTGCCAAACTGTGTTAAAGCAACTTCGCAAGGATATCCGTACCAGGGGTTATCATGAACTCATGATCTTATCCACGACAATGGTAGATTCTTTGGTGAAATTTTCATATCATGATCTTACATAACTATTTAATTACAAAAGAAGTATAAATACTGCTCTATAAGATACAACCAACATACTAATGATCCTATACAAGAACTAGCGTTAGATGTTTGCATTTGAAAACTGGGGTCAACTCGTCTAAAATTAAGCCAGCTTATACATTCAAGCCAGGTCGAATTTAAATCAGCTTCTAGGTAATAATTTTGTATTTCATGTGAATGAAAAAAAAAAAAAAAAGTTAAAGCCCATACTTTTATGGGAAATAAGTGGTTTCTCTGGTATAGTAACTTTTGGCAAGTCTATTTCTGTTGCTTCATGTGTCACATGAACCTCTTAAACTGATGATATGTCTAATACAGAAGGGTCCCTGCGCATGTGAGGAGCAGGAGGTTACTTGGAGGACTGTATTGTATGATACTAGAAGAAAGCTTATGATGATCAAAGGTACGATAACAAGATGGCACTACAAGTAAACACCGTTGTGCACTTCCCATTTGTATGACAAATTGGTAAGTTTGGTGGTTAAAGATAAAACCGATGCATGCACAGTATATAAAGTTAGTACTTGACAAGGATCGGATGTAGGTCCCCCTCCCCCCTCCCCCAACTCACAATAGCACTTGTACATAAAGGACAATGATTGCTCCTATAATTGATATATTTTCAAAGGATTTTTACAGATATCAATTGCAAGGAAACTACAGGAATGTGACTTAGAAGGTAAAGATTCAGTTAAAAAAAGAGTTCAAGAAACAAACATTCAAAGCACATTCATTAGCAAGTTATTTTGTAATTTAATCCAGTTTGCATTTTAAATTATAATCTCACTCAATATAAAATTGAACATTGGCATTTCTTTGTAAGCAAATTTTGGGTTTAATGGTAGGGGTTCTGTGCAGGAGGTTGGGTAACAAAATTAACTTATTTTGCTTGGATACACATATATGCAGATAAACCAAATACATGGATTACAAGTCCCCATTACTTTGGCATGAACTGCAACAGGTTCTCCTAATTTATTTGTAAGCATAATTCGGTTAGTATTAATGGAAGCTCCAAGGATCGGACGTGGACACAGATGAAGAGATTTACTTTGCTTCAAACTCATAGATTCACCATGGTTATTTGCAATAAGAGCAACTTTCCAGCTAATTTGTCCCTCCTAATCAGCGTAGGAATGGTATAGTCAACTGGATAAGTATGGGACGTTTTTCAGACCAAAAGACTGCATGCTTATTATTTAAAGCTTACAGATTTGGAAAATGACCATACCCATTGCCGTTTCTTAGATGACAAAAAGACTTCAAGGACATGAAGTGATAAGCAGTGACTAGAAACCTTAAACAAAGATAATTTGTCCATCAGAGATGCATATGATACCAAAGGAAGAGATAGGTCCTTAGCTGTTGACAAAGGGTAGTCCTAGGAATCAACTCAGCACTAAACAAAATTAGAAGATTAAGCATCCACTTGGCAGCAAATACGTATATGTAACCCCAATAATTTAAGCATGATCATCTCAAATTAAAAATCTTACACCTTTGTTATCTTCACCTCATCTTACTGATTTAAAGTATTTCACTAAACAATAAATTATTTTTACTAAATAAATCTTGTTTTTACTTGTTAAAACTGATTTTTATTGATTAGAACTTGCTTTTATTGATTAACAGTTATACTTGTTCTTTGAATTTACTAAATTTAAATAATTAAAACAAATGTTTACTTTATTAATCAGATTATTATTACTAGTTGAAACATATTTTTAACAATTTGAACAAAGTTTTACTGAATATTACTTTTTAAGGCAAAGATAATACGGCTCTTAGTAATAGAATAAGAGACTCAATATTATCACATTAGTTACTCTATTATAACAATGAATTTATGTTATAGTAATGAACTGACCTATGGAGAAGGGCATAATAAGTTGTGTTCGGGTTAGCTTGGAAAGAAAGCAAGTAGTGAGTTTTGCTCTATAAAATAAAAGTTTAGGACGAGATCATTATGATGAATGTTGACTGGAGTTATCATTTAGGTTTATTTTGTATTTTGGGAGAGTACAGCCTCTTGAATGCTTGTGTTTATCGGTTACTTGTTCATATTTCCAGTTTATTCATCATAATCACCTTCTTTTCCCATTAAATCAACACCATTAAATATGTCAAAGCTATGTCAGTTCACAACAGGTAGTTTACATTGATGGTAGCAATTACCATACTAGACTGGTTTTATTTTATATAAGGATTTCAATGCTACAGTAGCAACACGTTTTTTATTTTATGTTTTGACAACCATATAAGGATTTCGATGCTACTTTATTTTATATAGCAACACGCTATAACACTAATTATGAAGCTACAACATTTCTTATGATTGATGATGATGTCATATTTCATTTGGGATTAAGGCTTTGATGCTGCTGTTGTTGATTATCTCAGATGGAATCTTGTTGGGGCTTTGAAAACATAGTGATGTATTCATATTAAATAAATGATCAGTTTGTTCCTTTGGGAGATCATGTCCAGCATGTTTTTCACATCAGAGATTGAATTTAATCATGAAATCATGATCATGCCAGTCACAATCTGGACCACATGATTCGATGCATGGCATTTAATGAAGCTAATTTGATTTTGCTTTGTAATATAACTCATATACGACAAGTCAACTTATCAATTTGGTGAGAAAAGAAGAGCATTTGATAACACGAAGTGGGCTTGAAAGCAAAGCATTATTTAGTGCATTGTTTTAATGAGATAGCCAAGCTTCTTGTTTTTTTTTTTTTTAAATAATGAGATACGTCTGATTTGTTCCACAAATTAAAGATTAATAAGGTAGTTTATTTTATGGATGTCTTACTATATTAAGAGTTTTATTACTTCTAGGCTTTATGTTAGTCAAATAACCCTTCAAGGGAGTCGTTGAATAATAACCAAGAGATGAGTTCATGAAGAAAATGGTTGAATGGTTTGCTATCTTTCAGTTTAGTCTTAAACCAAACAGATAACCATGAGTTGTGTATCTTGACCCGCATCTACAAGACCCCTCAAACCGGACTTTTTAGATATGAATTTGTTCTTTTCTTTTAGTATACTCATCTTTATTACCAAATGATGTGGATACAATGGATCCATCCTTATTATTTCCTATTTGAGCTCCATGTTCATATGATTGCTAAAGAGTAGACCACTTAAAATGGCAATGAAAAATCTGTGTAAGAACACTGTTCTCACACAATTTGGCATTAACAAAGTGGTGAATCATCTAAAAAAATGTCTCTCACTAATTTAGAATTATCATAAAAATAATACATCCTGCGTTCTACTAATATTGCAACAAGGGAAAGACACAGAATTTAAGATGAGGAGAGAGAGAGAAACATGTGAAAATATGACAATGTTGCAATATTTGTTAGATTTCCTAAATATTAGGGGAACGGAAGAAATAATAATATTATAATAATAATAATATTAAAAAAAAAAAAAGAGGCAAATGTCATAGAGCACTGTTTCACAACGAGTAACTAACCCTTGTTCTTAACCTAGAACGTATTATATTTCGTTATTCCCTAATAAACGATATTGCCAAAAATGGAGAGCAACACATCTGTTATCCGACAAAAGGTCCGAAGGAGTACACAATAGCTCCATTTTCATGTTTATTTACAAGTGATGCAAATTGTTTAATGGTAGCCCCTTAAAGCAACCCATAATGACTCACTAATGCATGATTTCCACAAATTTAATTACAAAATTGCACGTTCTATAGTTGCTCTTAGTAGCTAGCTAGGCAAGGAACTAATCGGTTCCCACGAGTCTCACCATATATCACAACAAATTAAGATCCCTAGTCTTTAATTTGCTATCATGTAACCATCAGCTTTATTAGAATTTATATTATATACAAATTATCAGTGATTAATTAACATTAAGACCTTGTTCTCTTCACCTTATATTTGCTAAACTGAAATTTTTTTGCTGAAGTGGATGTTGATATTAAGTTGTTTTTTACTGAACTTGAATTGTTTTTACTAATGAAGTACAACTTATCTTTACTGATTTTCTAATATATATGTTCAATAAGATACTGATTTTTATTGAACTTATATTAATAAGGTGAAGAGAGCGGGCCTAACAATGATCACTAGCTCACAACCACAATACTCAAATATGACATGGCGTAAATAGATTTACCCTTTAGATATTTGAGAACCCTAATATTGAACTAAAAGAATTCCTAAAGGGTTCTAGTAACAAATAAACAAAAGAACTTTATGATACTTAAAAGATAAGACAAAGAACCCTGTTAGTCAAATCAGCTACTACGCTTCATTTATTGGCAATTCTTTGGTATATAATCCATAATTCGTTTTTTATTCTTTCAACTACAGATTTGCACATACATAGTAAAATTTTCAAGGAAGATGGGGAAGCATAACAAAAGACATAAATCTTCATTTAAGGGAAGCAATTCAATAAAAACAACATAATTAAAAAATGCATGCTGACACTAATTAGAAAAAAAGCTCAAGTTTACCATAGTGTTGCAATAAGCAATCGCCTAATGAAATATTCTAAGCAAGCTTGGTGATCCCTTTTCCATTTCAATGCTTATCGATTCCAAATTCTACAGCAGCATGGACATAAAGTGAAGTAAATACAGCAGTTCTATTCTGAAAGAAGAAATAGGCGCAGAAAGCTGAGAATAGCTGCTACAATAACATAAATTGAACCTTTAAACATGAAACCAATAGAGCTCAAACAAAATTAAAAAGTATTTTTCAAATTTAAAACAACACTTATGCATTCATTACAAGACTATTGGACAAGTAAAGCATCAAAAACCGTAATTACTCTAGTGAGGGATTCTCTGGCTAACACAAAGCTCAAGCTGAAATAGACTAAAAAAATTTCAGCTTCGTTAATAGGCTCAACTAGGATCGAAAATTGCAACACATTAGCAACTAGATTCAAATCAATTATCACACAAGGCTCAAAAGATCACAAAAACTCTTATCATTCAAGAAAATCAATGAACATTGCACATAGCAAAATTTCAAGCAACAAAAACGTTCATTATAAGATTTCATAACTTCAGTTAACATAGCCAATAGTTCAATAATCCACATTAGAAGATCCCTAAATTGATTAAACTGACAAATAAATTAATGATAGCGTGAAATTGAACCCCAGATTCGAGCCAAACCTCTTTCAAATTGATGAAAGAATTAAGAACAACTAGAAATATCCCTGAGCCAGGGCTGGCGGGGCAGCCACCCCAGAACCAGGGAGAAGAAGAAAAAAAGGTACATTTACATAATTTTGTCATCAGATTACATTAAAGGGTGGCATAAACAAAAGCTTGTAAACATCGAAACCAAATTTGACTCCAAAAACATTACCAATATCAATGCAGGCTCGAAAAATCACATTATGAATAGCAAAATTCTAGCAACGAAATTGCTCTTTATAATCTAACATGATTTCAGTAATTTTAACCAAAAATGTGTAATATTTCATCTTTGAAGAACCCCAAAAGCCTAAATTGATTATACTGATGATTAAATCAATGATTAACACTAGATTGAGAAATGGATATTCAATGGTTAAACAACAAAGGAATTGAAAAAGAAAAAAACAAAGATATCTTACTCAAAGTTACTTCAGGAGAGATAGATCAGTAGGCATTTCTATGGAGAATTCAAAGTAAGCTTCAATGAAGGAGAGAGATAGAAAGGGTGAAGGGCCGAAGGGGGTGCAGCGTAATCGTGAAAGGTTCAAAAGGAAAAATAAATACTCCCTCCATTCCTTTATTTTTGCCCCATTTGCCAAAAGTGGTAGTAGTCCCTTATTTTTTGCACTATTTATTTTGGATCATGGTCTCATCTTCTTAACCAGTCTACATCAGCCTTTATTTTACTTTTCTAATCTCTTTTTACTCACTAACACCCATTCTCTCTCCTCAATTGCGCATGGCTTCTCTCTCTTCCATCGTCATCTCTCTTCTTCATACAGTACAACCCAACCTTCTTCTCTCTCCTCTCCATTTATTTTATTTTCCGGATACTTCCTCTCCTATTAATTTCACTCCCATCTCCTAAGATATCTTGTTGTAGTCAAACATTTTATAAAATTGAAATCCCTCAAAACCTAAATCTACGATTTAGGAACACTGAGATCCAGCTTGGTACTTCATCTAGGTTTTTATTTCGATTTTCATTTTTAGCAAAGGTTTGATTTTTCATTTTGATTTTTCCATCAACAATTCTTACGAATGTTTTTTGGGCAATTCGTTTACTATAACTAATTTCAACACAAATTTTGATTATTTTGTGGTGTTGAAGTTTTAGATCTGATTAGAAATGAGCTTCAATGGTAAGGGTGGGTTTGATTCGAAATTAAATGACGAGGATTATGAATTCTTGAAGCAAAATCTTTTTTTAAATCATACCCCTACCTTAAACAACTCCAATGATGACGAAGAGGAATTTATCCCCAACACCCCTGCGGCCACCGAGACTAGGTCGCCACCTCCAAGCTTGCTTCAGGTGTCGAAGACACCACTGTGCATGCACTCTGCCCGACCACCAAGCTTTACCAAAGGGGGCAGCAATTCTATCCCTTCTAGAAGGCTGGGGGTGAATAGATATAGGGGTTTAAAAAGGGATATCAACTTTGGTACTTCTGCTATAGAGGTCAATTGTGATGGTGTTGAGACCTAAGGACCAGAGAATAACTTGACCGGCCACTCACCTGAAATTGGAGGTGAAATGCTTCGACTTCTATGTCCTCTGTATTTCTCTCACCCGAAAAAATTCAGATAAGCTATTATTTGTGTCTTCTTAGTCTAAATCTTTTAATTATCCTAAAATTTTATATTTTTTTGGCTATTAAGTTACTTATCACGGTGGAGTAGTATGTATTTATGTGGTTGTACTATGTTTGTTTAATGCTGTGAACTTGGTATATGTGTTTATTTGTTAGTGTATGGTTATTGTAAGGTGGAGTATTATATGTAATGTGTATGTTATTTCTAATTTAAAAGGAGTAATGATCCTAGTTTTATTTTGTAATTAAATTGAGGCGGTTCATTTTGTCGTATAAATCGATGCAGTATAATTTAGAGACACTGCATTTGACAATGAGAAGGTTCCAGTTGCTACAATTTTATTGTTCTATATTGTTCTTTAAGTAGAATTAATAATTAGAAAAAAAAAAACCCTATGATGAGTATGTGAAGAATCTACTCTGGGGGGCATGCAGCTTATGTGATGTCACTCCATCTGTTTTGATGTTTGACGAGGCACGATTAAGCTATAATATGAGGGATTTAAAGCAATGACTCAAACACGTTTTTTTTTTTTTGCCACTCCATCTTATATGATGTTTGATTAGGCAATGGGATGCTAGAAGTTAAATGTATTTCCTTTGTGCCACTCCATCCTATAGATGTTTGATGAGGCAATGTGTTGCCTTGTTGTTGCCACCCCCCATGATGATTACACTACTATGAATAAAAACATATTTAGTTTTGTATTGCGAGTTCTTCTTCCACTATTGTGAACATACATACATTGAACTAATAGTAAAAGTTGTCAACTTTGATAAGTGGGTTCATTTATAATTACAAAATACATTTATAATTGCTCCTTATCAACTAAGGCTAATTAATAAATTGCATAATTGCAACTTTTTTAACTTCACAAAAGTACATCCAATCCCTATCCACATTAGACAAAATGGGGCAAAATTCTAATGATCAAGTAGTAATGATCATAAGCATAATATTGTACGCTACATATTTTAACCATCTACCAACCGTTGACTAATCTAACACTTTACTACTAATTTTATAACAAAAAGTTCTTGATATGTTTTCATAATTTGCATTCTTTATCTTATGGAATAACATGCCACTACCTGAGTTACATGATATGTATCAGGTGCTGGAAATGTGCATGCCCTGCATCATACCTTCCAATTCATCAACTTGCATAGACGTTTCCTCCACGATTGAGATATAACTTTCCCTTGGAATATGCTCTGTTTTTGCCTTTGCCCTTTCATCTGTGTGCTGAATAGTTGTTGTTAATCCATGTAAAATCATGCGTTGTTGCAGCAAATACGTCATACTTTCTTTTAGCAACTGAATTGGCACTTCTATGTAAGTTGGAAAATTTCCTGCTCTTTCCATCCTTTCCTTTGCATGATGTGGTTGTATATAATTATTTGAACCATGCACCATCATTATCTCAAGCATGCAATATTGTAGGCTTAGAAACACATGATTTACTTTACGAGGCTCAAAAATTTCATAAGCATACTTGACAGCACTTACTAGCTCGTCTACGTTTCTAGGGGCTTGTTGATGTTGACATGCTTGAATAGCATTAAAGAACCCTAAGTCGAGAACATTTAAGTCCGGACTGTTTAGGGGTTGTGCTATAAGATGTATGTTGAAACCATCTGTGTTTGCTGCATTTCTGAATTCAATGTCATGTAGTTGCAAATGTGGTGTAGCATTATCTTGCTGAACCCAAATTGTTTCACCCGCATCAATTGGCCAATTTGCCTTGATTGAGGAAAGCAATTGCTCAATAAATAACTTTCTTATAACTGATTGTGTAATATTCTTGATTGGTTTTGTTTCCAAAGTGCCAACCACTCTATGTATGCTAGATCGCTTTGCTGGAATAACTTTTGTCAATGGGAAACATCTTAACTTTCCATCAAACAGACATTCACCATCTGGTCCATGAACTGCTCTTGACAATGCTACCTCAAACATGACTTTGGTATCGTACCTTTTGGACTTACAATTCCGGTAAGGATGTACTTCATTTGGTGCCAAATAAAATGTTTGTGAGTTTTTTGACATAAAAAAACCATTTCTCATCAATGTGTACTGTTTAGGGTAAAAAAATACCCCCTAGACACGTGGCCCTATAAAGGCTTGCCACGTGTCAAGCTTGCAACGGTCAACAAAGGCCCAATCCCTTTGCGACACGTGTCCATTGTACCCTAATTGAGGTACAGTTCTCCCCTACTATAAATAGTAGGGGCATATCTCATTTATGGGGATCGAGAACGATTCCAACAACTAACCAAACACAAAACCCATTGCAAAACGCTCCCTAATCGAGAAGCATTTATTGTTCTTTATACTTCTTTAAGAAAGATTCTAACTTGATCTTCGGAGGCGGAACTCCCACCCCCATCAGGAGTCTCCGTTATTTGTGCAGGTACAGGCGAAGGAAGGAGCATACTAGGAAATTGTAACTCTCCCGCAGGACACATAAAAAAACCCCCAAACATCTGGCGCCGTCTGTGGGGGAGAGTACTTTCTAGATGACTTCAGAACCTGTACTACCGGGGAAAAATAGCCAACCTGATGGTGAGGCTGAGGTCCACTCGGACCAAGATACAGCCGACAACTATGAGGTCGAGACGTACACAACCGCTGATGGTTCTTTTAGGACCAAGCATACCCGTTCCAAAGACAAAAGGGAACGGGCAGAACATCAAGTGGGCCTTAGTCATCCCACCAGAGGTCCGCTTGGGTTAACCCCCGCTTCAGAAGGAGCCACTCCTGTCTCCAGGGACGAATTCATGAGTATGATGATGAGTTTCAAAGAGGCAGGCGGAAGAAAGACGTCTTGGGAAAAAGACGACCAAGGTGGTAAAAGATAGAGCACCTACTCCGCACCCAAAGTCAAAGGTGCCGGTTAGGTCCATTGATATCTCAAAGATTCGCATTCCCATGGAGAAAACCAAAAAACCCTTTCGGCACATACAGCCAGGTGGTACAAAGAAGGTCTACTCTGATGCTCGGACGCTCATTCAGGATAAAAAGATCCAACAACGTTCCGAGTCGGCATCGACGTCGGCCTTTCAAGACAGTTTCCATATTACATCAGGGAGGCACTCGAGAACAAGTAAAGAGAGTCGGTCGACCGAGGTTTCCGCTCGATTCGGCCCTCATTTAATCCAACCGGCAGTTCATGGGTCACCATACATGCCCTTTGGATCTCCTTACTCACAGCCGGCCCTATTCGGGGGTCAGTAGCCACCTGTCCAGCCTATGGACTAGTAGCTCCGGCTGCTCAACCTTGGGGAACAGCCAACGACGTTCTCCAGGGAAATCACTGAGATGGCTCAGCCGTCAAAGATAAAAAATGTGTTGGTAGGTGCCTATGACGGCACCACCAACCCAGAAGATCACCTTATGGCATACACCAACCTGATGTATTTGCAGGGTTTGGATGATGCCTCTTGGTGTAGGTGCTTCCCGGCAACGTTGAAAGGGATTGCTCAACGTTGGTTTGGTAACCTACCTGCCGGATGCATCAATAACTTTAGAACGTTGGCATACTAGTTCACCTCCAACTTCTCAATGAACATCCCTGCTAAAAAGACAAGCCTTGATCTCGGGGCAATACAGCAGGGGCACAAGGAATGGCTTAGGTCATATGTCAGGCGGTTCAACTTGATGAGAATCCAAATCCAGGAATTGTCTGATGACGTCGCCTATACCGACTTCTTCAAAGGTCTAAAGGATGGGTCAACCTTTAAGTTTGACTTGGTAAGAAAAAGGGTCTCTACCCTTCATGAGGCATTAATGAAGGAAGAGGCTTACATACAGGCAATGGAACTTTGCACTGTTAAACTTCCAGCGGATTACAAAAGATCCGATAAAAGAGAAAGCCAGCCTACTCAGCCGGCCAAAAGGGAAGAGAAGAAACGAAAAGAAGTCTGGGCGGCAGAGCCATCCGGACAACCGTTCCAGAAGAGAAAGAGGTCGGATCTGTATGTCCCAAGGTACGAATTCACCAAGGATTGCGCCTCCATTCTCAAGGAGGTTAAAGACCGGTTAAATCTTGAAAAACCGGCAGCAATGAAGAGTCCCGTGAGCAGCCGGGATAAAGGTAAATATTGCCATTTCCACGAAGAGATAAGCCATGACACTGAAGGTTGTTTTAGTCTTAGGCGGCTCTTTGACCGCCTTGCTGATGAGGGGGCTCTAAAAACTTATCTGTCAAAATCAAAGGGTACTCCCAAACAGGTCAAAGGACAACCTCCAAAGACACCGGAAACTCCTTCTGACACTGATGAGGATACCATCTTAACCATAGCCGGTGGATTTTAAGGTGGAGGTCCTACCATCCGGGGTACAAAGGATAACATAAGAAGGCTGATCAACTCAATAGATGAAGGTCAGTCGTCTAAAAATTCATTCCCGGAGGTCAATATCTCCGAAAAGGATAGAGGGGAGGTCAGGCGGCCCCACGATGATCCCATAGTCATCGAATGTAAAATTGCCAATCAACGAGTTGGCCGTATCTTAATTGATACCGGGAGCTCGTCCGACCTTATAAGCTACCGGTGCTTAGAAAAACTCAAGTACAAGCCCAATAGCATGATTCAGGCTCCATACCCTCTTGTTGGCTTTGGGGGAGGAGTAGTGCATCCGGTGGGGATGGTTGACCTACCCATCCGGTTTGGAGAGAAGGGGAAAGGTCGGTATATGGTTGTCAAGTTTCTTGTTGTTGAGGAACTGACGGCTTACAACCTGATCATTGGCCGCCCAACCCTTAACATCTCCAAAGCAGTGATCATCCCGTCTCTAATGTTGATTAAATTCGAGAGGGATGATGGCACAGTCGGTTCCTTGAGTGGGGACCAAAAGACGGCGAGAGAGTGTTACCTCTCAGACGTCAAACCAACATTGGTCACAGACGGTCAGGAAAAGGAAATAGTTGAACTTGACGAATGTGATCAAGAAGCACCGGCCCTAAAAGCAGTCGGTAAAAAGAGAAAGGCGGATGAAATGGCACCCGTCAAAGAAAAACAATAGCAATCATTGTCAGGGGAGAGGTCAGATGACCTTCGCCCCCAGCCGGCAGGAGAAATTATTGACATCATCTTAGATAACAGTCGGCCTGACAGAACTGTCAAAGTTGGGACAGTTGCTTTTGACAACTTAGGAACCAACTTGCTCCGATTGCTGAGAGAATTCAAAGATGTGTTTGCCTTTGAAGTGGAAGAAATGTCGGGCGTAAGCCCGGATCTTGCTGTTCATAAACTCACTATGGATCCTAAAAAGAAGCCGGTTAGGCAAAAGAAGAGGAACCATGGTGAGGAAAGATCTCAGGCGGCCGCATCCGAGGTCAAGAAGCTTTTGGATGTCGGGTTCATTCGGCAATGCTACTACCCGGATTGGGTAGCCAATGTTATCCTTGTGAAAAAGCCGAATGGTACCTGGCGCATGTATGTAGATTACACGGACTTAAACATAGCTTGTCCAAAATATAGTTACCCGCTTCCAAAGATCGACCACTTGGTAGACTCTACAGCCGGTCATGCTCTGATGAGTTTTATGTATGCCTATTCCGGCTTCCATTAGATACCTTTGTGGAAGAAAGACCAAGAAAAGACGGCTTTCGTCACAGATCAAGGTTTATACTGTTACACGGTGATGCCGTTTGGGTTGAAAAATGCGCCTGCTACCTTCCAACGAATGATAAACTCGGTCTTTTATGATCAGATTGGGAGAAATGTAGAGGCGTACAATGATGACATGATAGTCAAGTCCAAGTTACAGGCGGATCATCTATCTGACCTCCGAGAAACCTTTACCACCCTCAGGCGGCAAAAGGTCATGCTTAACCCAAAAAAGTGCGTCTTTGGTGTTGAGTCTGGGAAGTTTCTCGGATTTTTGATTGACCAGAGAAGTATAGAGGCTAATCCGGACAAGGTGCAGGCGGTGATTGACATGCAGTCGCCTCGTACCGTCAAAGAGGCTCAAAAGCTTACCGGTTATCTGGCGACATTGGGGAGATTCCTCAGCCGGTCAGGTGATAAGTGCCTTTAATTTTTTCAAGCAATGAAAAAGAGGTCCAGGTTTGAATGGGGTGAAGAGGCTGAGGCGGCATTCTAGAGGCTGAAACAACACTTGCATTCTTTGCCAAGATTAGCGAGTCCCCTTCCCCAAGAGGCCCTCTATATGTACCTAGCCGTCTTGGATCATTCCCTAAGTGTCGTTCTCCTTGCCGAGAGAAACGGCAAACAGCTCCCGGTTTATTTCATAAGCCACGTTCTCCGGAATGCTGAACTTCGATATCCCATGATTGAAAATTTTGGTCTGGCTTTATACAAAGCGGTCAAACGGTTGAAACCTTATTTCTTGGCTCATCCAGTTACCGTCTACACTGATCAACCGCTCAAACAACCTATGACCACGTTAGAGTCATCCGGGAGAATGATTAAATGGGAAGTGGAAATTCAAAGTCTAGAGATAACTTTCAAGCCCAGGCAGGCAGTGAAAGGTCAGGCGTTTGCCGACTTCATTGTTGAAATGACTAGGGCGGTACAGCCGGATAATACTGACTAGGTATGGAAGATGTATGTAGACGGGAGTTCTACCATGAATGGTTGTGGGGCAGGCGTAATTTGTCATTCCCCGGAAGGGGATAAATACGAGTATGCTCTACGATTCAAGTTTCAGGCTTCGAATAATGAAGCAGAGTACGAGGCCTTGCTAGTCGGTATCCGCATGTGTAAGGCAGCCGAGGCAAGGAAGGTTGACGCCTGTTCTGATTCTCAACTAATTGTTAGCCAGTACCATGGTGATTACGAAGCCACCCACCTAATAATGATTAAATATCTTCAAGCAGTCAAAGAAGAGGCTGGGGCATTTGATGAATTCAATCTAAGTCAAGTGTCAAGGTCTGAGAATAATCAGGCGGATGCACTATCAAAACTGGCATCATCCGCCACTTGCGATACGCCTAGGTCAGCCTTTTAGGAAGTCATGGAAAAGAAAATCATTAAACATGATCCCATTGGAGTTCTAGATCGAAGCTCTACTTGGATGGACCCCATCCGGGACTACTTGGTAGACGGCACTCTACCGGATGCCTCCTCAGAAGCGGCTGCTCTAAAGAGACGAGCATTAAGTTTCATCATGCACAAGGGTGAACTCTTTCGAAAGGGGTACCTACAGCCGTTATTCAAGTGTATAACCCCAGAAAGGGGAAGGGAAGTGCTAGAAGACCTACATGCCGGCTTCTATGGATTACACATAGGCGGCAGAACCCTTGCAAAGAGAGCCAGGCGGCAGGGGTACTTTTGGCCAACTCTTGAGGCAGATGCTCTAGATCTAGTAAAGAGATGTGACAAGTGCCAGAGACTTGGCCGGCTTATCCGTCAGCCGGCTATTGATTTGACGGCTATCTTCAGCTCTATCCCATTTGCCAAATGGGGCATGGAGAACCATATACGCCAGCCTCAGGCGGCCGTAGATACATTTTGGTGGCTGTTGATTACTTCATAAAGTGGGTTGAGGCAGAGGCGGTAAAGGGCATCAAAACTATGGATGTAATCTCCTTCTTCTGGAAGAATGTCATCACTCGGTACGGTGTTCCTATGTCAATGGTCTTTGATAATGGACCGTAGTTCGAAACGCCTGTCCTCAAAACTTGGTTGCAAGACCAAGGGATTTCACATTATTTTGCATCCGTAGGCCGTCCTCAAGCAAACGGTCAGGTGGAAGCTTTCAACAAGCTCATTTCAGGCTGAATAAAGAAAAAGATCGAAAAAGCAGGCGGTCTTTGGGCAGAAGAATTGACTCATGTTCTTTGGTCAATCAGAATGACAGAGAAGGGGCCAATCGGTGAAACCCCATTTTTCATAGCATACAGCACAGAGGTTGTCCTTCCTATTGAATTATATGAACCAACACTTCGAATCATGCTTTATGATGAAGAAGCAAATTAGGAGGCCATGCGTCTGGCTTTGGATTCTCTCCCTTAAAGAAGAGGTAATGCCGCCTTACATCATGAAATCTACCGTCTAAGAATGACGAGAGCCTACAACAAAAGGGTGCGCAAAAGACCCCTTAAAGTAGGAGATTTTATACTACGTAAACTTAAGGCAACCGGTAGGGCGAACGAACAAGGGAAGTTAACTCCAAATTGGGAAGGACCCTACCGGATTTTTGAAGAAGTTAGAAATGGCACATACCGCCTGGAAACCCCAGACGGAATGCAGCTACCTCGCACCTGGAATGTAGATAACTTGAAAAAGTACTACTTCTAAGGAATTTGTAATTTTTGTAAATAACATTGAAATTTGAAGTATATCATTTCTGTTCATTTAATTGTATTAGCACCCGTCTAGTGCAAAAACACAGTCGGAAGAACATTTATTAAACCACTGCTCCAAAAAGAGCAGTCATCCGGTGACACCCATCCGGGTGAATTCACCGAAGTGAACAGCTCCCTTCCGGGTGGTACATTGTTCTGGCGATCGTAAACTCAAACGGCTTACTGACACATTATTGAAAGTAAACAGCCGTTCGAAATGATCCATTGCATCTGGGATTCGGCCAGCATAGACCCAAAAGTGGTCCATGCGGCAAAATCAAAAGCCTAGTAAAAACACCAACCTGCTTTAGCAGCAAAGCACTACAGGCGGTTAGGTATTCCGGATGAACATTTATTTAAAATGACGATGTTATTCCTCTTGGTATGAAAACTCCTGCGTTAAAAACACAACAGATTTTTAAATATATATATATATGGGCTTAAAGCAACCGGTCTTTATCCAAAAGATATGGAGACGGCCTATAATGCTCTTTAAAACATCATAGTACCCATCCGGCTGTCTTTGAAACGGCTGCTTGTTTACCGTTTGAGTAAACAAAGCCATTTCAGGGGCATTTTATTGTATCAGTCGGTATGTTGTAGGTCAAACATCGTTACCCATCCGGCTGTCTTTGAAACGGCTGCTTGTTTACCGTTGGAATAAACAAAGTCAGCCATTTCAGGGGCATTTGATTGTATCAGCCGGTGCGTTGTAGATATATATAAGTAATTTGCATTTAAAAAAAATGCAAGTAAAGGATAAATGTAAATAGAAAAACCGACTGAGTCAGTAAATATATTAAAATAGAAATGTTAACCGGACCCATGTCCAGGGAAAGTACAGAAACATACACGGCTCGTAGGCCGGTAAGAAGAGGAAAAAAGAGAAGATTGTTTATGCTTGTTACTATTGCTGCTGAGGTTGCTGTCGCTTCGGCTGCTGAGCTTGTTCTGTTGGAACTTCAGCCGACTGCACCATAGTTGGTTCTGGCAAGATTTCAGT